AATAGTTTTGAACTTCACAGTGACATACTGTGCAGTTTGATCTCCTGTAACTACCCAAGTGGGAAAGCTAATTTTTGAAGTATATTTTTCTGTATTGTATTTGCACTAACTACAATGCGTATCAGAGATTGTTGCATTTCTAGTTTGAAAAAACAAATTTTAAAATTTAAATGATTCATTACAGCCTTGGTCCAAGCACGGACAAAGTTGCTGAGGTGATGTGACAGTGACTGTCCCTGGCATCAAGTAGCATTTGATGCAGTATGACTCTAATCCTGCGCAAAACTGGAATGCGATTCCAGGATAAAGATCCCTAATAGTTGAAGTCATAACTAGTAGAAAGGAAGATGGCTGTGGTTGTTGAATGTTGATTATCTCAGGTTCATAGTATCACTGTAGGAGTTCCTCAGCATAGTGTCATAGGCTCATCTATCTTCTGCTGCTTTATCAGTTGCTATCCCTCCATCATAGGACCAGCAATGGGAATGTTCACTGGTGATTTCACAATGTGTGACTCCTCTTTGCTGAAGTAGCATGTCCATAAGCAGCACAAACTAGACAACATTCAGGCTTGAACAGATAATTGGCAAGTTAAATCTGCACAAACTAAATGCCAGGCAATTAACATCTGAAATAAGAGAACCTAACCACGATGTTCACTAGCATTATTATCAATGAACCCCCACTAACAACATCCTGGGTATGACCATTGAGCAGAAACTGCATTGGTTAAATCACATAAATACAGTGGCTACAGGAGCAGGTTGTAATCCTGCAAAAACTTACTCACCACCTGTCTCCCTGATTCCTGTCTACCATCTATGAGCCACAAGTATATTGGCCTTTATTACAAGAAGGTATGAGATTTAAAAGTAAAGATGCGTCACTGCAATCATGTATAACATTGGTGAGACCACACCAGGAGTTGTATGTGCAGTTTTTGTCTCCTTACTTATGGAAAGATATACTTGCCATAGAGTGATTGCAATAAAGGTTCGTGAAACTGATTCTTAGAATGGAGGGATTACATCTGAGGAATTATTAAAAAGCCTGGGCCTTTATTATCTGGAGGTTAAAAGAATAAAAATTGATCTCATTCTAACATAAGAAATCATTACAGGGATGGACAAGGCGGATGCAAGATGTGTTTACCCTTGCTTGGGATGAAGGTGGGGATCCTAGAATCAGAAGATCCTAAAATAAGGGGTCAGCCCATTTAGGACTGAGATGAGAAGGACTTTCTTCATGCAGAACACAATGGATATTTGGAATTCTCGCCCAGATGACTGTGGGGACTCTGTCATTGAGTATGTTTAAAACTGAGATAGCCTTCCAACTCGATTTCAGCCATGATTTCACTGAATTCTGGAGCAGGCTATTTAAGTCTGGAGTGTGATGGAGAGCTGTCTTTGCGCCTTGATGCATACTGCTCCAACAACACTTGAATTTAGACACTATCCAGGCCAAATCAGCCTCTTTGATTGGCACTCCATCCACCCCCTTCAGTGTTCACTCTCTTCACCAATGATGTACAGTAGCAGCAGTATATACCACCAACAAGATGAACTACAGCAACTCATCCAGAGTCCTTCGACAGCACCTTACAATCTCACACCTTTACCACCTCGAAGTTAAATAGTGTGGGATCACCAAAATCTAAAAGTTTCCCTCCAAGCCACGCACCACCCTTATTTGGAACTATATCACCATTACTTCACTGTCATTGGGCCGAAATCTTGGAGCTTCCTTCCTAACAGCACTGTGGGGAATACCTGCTCTCCAAAGATTGCAGTAGTTCAGGAAAATGACTTGCTGTCACATTCTCTTGTGCAGTTAGGAAAGGACAATAAATGCTGGCCTAGCAAGCAATGCCCACATCCCATGACCAAGTCAGAAAATGGTCTTGAGCAACTGAATGTGAGCAAGTCTGACCACTAGGAATAGGAGGAGAGGTAGCCAGGTAGTGCAGGAGTCTCCTGTGGCTTTCCCCATCTCAAACAGGTATTCCGCTTTGGATGCTCTGGGCAGCTGGGGGGTGTGGTAGTTTGGCTGTCAAGGGACTGTAGCATTGATAGCCAGGTTTCTGGTACCGTGACTGGCTCTACTATAATGAGGGGTATGTCAGATCCCAAGCAATTGATTGTAATAGGAGGTTCTGTAGTCTGGGGCATAGACAGACATTTCTGTGGCCATCAGTAAGACATCAGGGTGATGTGTTGCCTCTGATGCAAGGATCAAGGATGTCTCAGAAGGTGCAGAATATTCTGAAAGGGGAGAGTGACCAGCAGGAGGTCATTGTGCACCTTGGTACCAACGACATGGGTAGGAAAAGAGATGAGGTGCAGAGAGAACGTAGGAAACTTGGCAGGAGGTTCAAAAAGTAGGTCATCAAGGGTAGTAATATCTAGACTACTACGGTGTCACATGCTAGTGAGAGTAAAAATAAGAGGATAGAGCAGATGAATGCATGGCTGAGGAGCTGGTGCAAGGGATGTGAGTTAAAGGGACAGTTGGGAAGTGGGAGACCTTTAAAAATGAGTTAACAAGAGTCCAGAGACCATATGTTCATGTTAGTGTAAAAGACAAAGCTGGTAGGTATAGGGAATGCTGGATGACTAGAGAAATTGACCCTCTGGTCAAGAAAAAGGAGGAGGCATATATGAGTAATAGACAGCTTGGATTGAGTGAATCCCCAGAGGGGAAGAAGGGCAGTAGAAGTGTACTTAAGAAGGAAATCAGGAGGGCAAAAAGGGGACATGAGAAAGCTTTGGCAAATAGAGTTAAGGAAAATCCAAAGAGATTCTGTAAGTACATTAAGGGTAAAAGAGTAACTAGGGAGAGAATAGGGCTGCTTAAAGATCAACATGGTCGTCTGGACGTGGAACTACAAGAGATTGGTGAGATACTAAATGAATATTTCATGTCAATGTTTATTGTGGAGAAGGACATGGAAACTAGCAGAACTTGGGGAAATAAATAGTGACGTCTTGAAAAGAATTCATATTACAGAAGAAGAGGTGCTGGATGTCTTAAAATGCATAAAAGCCGATAAATCTCCAGGATCTGATCAGGTGTTTCCCAGAATTTTGTGGGAAGCTAGGGAAGAGATTACTGGGCCCCTGGCTGAGGTATTTGTCTCATCAACACCCATGGGTCAGATTCTGGAAAACTGGAGGTTGGCTAATGTGGTGTCATTGTTTGAGAAAGGTTGTAAGGAAAAACCAGGGAACTATAGACTGATGAGCCTTAGGTCAGTGATGGGTAAATTGATGGAGGGGACTCTGAGGGACAAGATTTACATGCATTTGGAAACGTAAGGACTGATTAGGAATAGTTAACATAGTTTTGTGTGTGGGAAATCATGTCTCACTAACCTGATTGATTTTTTTGAAGAGATGACAAAGAACATTGATTAAAACACAGTGGTAGATGTTGTTTATATGGAGTTCAGCAAAGCATTCAACAAGCCTGGTAGACTGGTTAGTAAGGTTAGATCACATGGAATCCAGGCATAGCTAGCCAATTGGATACAAAATTGGATTGAAGATAGGAGACGGAGGGTGGTGGTAGAGGATTGCTTTTGGACTGGAGGCCTGTGACCAGCAGTATGCCACAAAGAAGGATGCTGGGTCCACTGCTTTTTGCTATTTATATAAATTATTTGAATGTGAATACAGAAGATACGGTTAGTAAGTTTGAAGATGACGTCAAAATGGGTGATGTAGTGGACAGTAAAGAAGATTATCTCAGAGAATAACAGGACATTGATCAGATGGGCCGATGGGCCAATGGGCCGAGGAGTGGCCAATGGAGTTTAATGCAGATAAATGTGAGGCAAACCAGGGCAGCATTTACGCAGTTAATGGTAGGGCCCAGGGGAGTGCTGCCAAACAAAGAGGCATAGGTGTAGTCTTTGAAAGTGGAGTCGCAGGTGGGCAGGGTGGTGAAGAAGGCATTTGGCATGCTTGCCTTCGTTGGTCAGAACACTGAGTATAGGAGTTGGGATGTCATGGGCTGCACAGGACATTGGTGAGGATACTTTTAGAATACTGTGTACAGTTCAGGTTGCCCTTTTATAGGAAGGATGTCAAACTTGAGAGGGTGCAGGAAAGATTTACAAGGATGTTGCTGGGACTGGGACTTGAGTTATAGGGAGAGGCAGAATGGGCTGTGGCTATTTTCCCTGCAGCGTCAGAGACTGAGGGGTTGCCTTATGCAGATTAAAAAAATGATGAGGAGCATGATAGGATGAATAGCCAATGTCTTTTTCCTAGGATGGGGGAGTCCAAAATTAGAAGGCATAGGTTTAAGGTGAGAGGGGAAAGAAGGATCTGAGGGTCAACATTTTCACGCAGAGGGTGGTGCGTGTCTGGAATGAGCTGCCAGAGGAAGTGGTAGAGGTGGGTGCAATTACAACATTTAAAAGACATCTGGATAGATATATGAACAGGAAAGGTTTAGAGGGATATGTGTCCGTTGCTGGCAAATGGAACTAGATCAGATTAGGATGTCTGGTCGGCCCAGACAGGTTGGACCAGAAGGTCTGTTTCCGTGCTGTATGACTCTATGACTAAGTCTTGTTTGCCACAAGCATTAACCATATGGAAAAATGAAGTCAAAAGTTACACTTTGAAGCTTGGATATTTGAGTGCTATAAAAATGTATGTCTTTTAAACTGTTTCACTTTTGACATGTCCCATCTACTTGATAAACCATCTTACTAATTAAGTACCTTGATTTATGTTAGATTTATGAAGTGCTTTGTATGGAAAAATGAAATGTTTGTTTCGAGTATACATTTTAAAATAGGTCATTCAATTTTAGTGAGTTTTACAGGCGAATTAAGATATATTAAATTGTCTAACTTCAAATTGGTTGCACCATCATCATCAGATAATTTTGAGTCTATAAATACAGAAGTACTGTGATGCATTATAAAATCAATTCCTTTTGATCACTGATTGATTGTAACTCATTGCAACGTTGGGTGTATTTTTCAGATTTACAGTCCTCCCAAATGGAATTCTGCAAATTGTAGATGTGCAAGAGGGTGATGCTGGAGCATATCGCTGTTTAGCTAAAAGTGGAAAGTGGACACGCTACAGTCAGCATGCTACTCTCACTGTATTACAAGGTAATGTGATGTAGCTAACATAACCTTACAAGAAAATTGATTTTTCATGGAATTAACATCAAAGCTAATAAAAGGAATAAAGACTCATCATTGAAACCTCGAAGTTAGGATGTAACAGGTGTTTAAAATGTGTTTAAAATTCCATTTCTGGGTGTGTTTTTTAGACTTTGTATTCAGCATTCAAACAACTGCACTGGAGGAGTTCCATGGTTAATCATAGGTTTAGTTTCCATCCAGCGTGGATAGGTATTCTAATCTGGGTCTGTCTAGTGCTGAATTAGATATATGATATAGTTGTTCATTCTATTTACATGTTACAGGAAAGAACTTATTTTAAACTTCACTAAACTTGATCCACAGAAGTTGAAATGACGTACATGCTATAAAAACCTTTAGTTTCTTATTGTCATAATCTAATATCTACTTGAGGTTTGATAAAGCTTAGTACTTAACAGCGGTTTGTCTTGTCTGACATCCTTGTTGATTTTAACAAGGACCTCAGCTGGAATCAGTGAAAACAAAGTTCTTGGTAAAGGTTTGCAATAACATGCTTGATTAAAAAAGTATTCAATTACATAATGGTTAAATATGAGCATATGGATAATTTAGACATTGTAAATCCAACATTCTTTGGTCATGTTAAGTACTGGTATTAGGAAGGTTTCTAAAACTGGAAAAAGTTGTGTAAGTGATGGAGGTGATGGAATTCTTTTTTTCCTTCCTTATGTTATGCTAGTGCTTGCGTACCGTGTGGAGTATCTAATTCCATCGCCTGTTTTTAATCCTGATTTACAGTCCAAAATAAGCATCAACAAAAGTAATTAGACAAACACTATTTCCTTAAACCTTATTTGTACAAATGTTCATTGGTGAAACAGGATCATAAAATGGAGGTTAATTGGCTTCCACTGATCGGAATTGCAGCTTGATGTATATGAAATTAGTGCACATTTACTGCATATTCTACATTTTCAGTAAGTCCTGCATAACATTACTCCATTTAATGTTGTTTTGCTTTAGTACCACTAAAAGAGGCTGTAATCACACTGAGTATTTTGAGTTTCTTTTTAACATCGTTTCCTAAGTGATCCAATCATTGCCATTTTGGACTAGTCTTTCATACAACTGATGCATTCAAAAAACCCAATAGGAAAATTAACACTACTTGATTTTAATAGCTTTTGTTGAAATTTCTCCCATACAACAGTTTCATTGGAGGTATAAATTCACTGTACGTTAACTTTTTTTTTAAGAAAGGAAACAGATATTTAGGCTTTTTTTGTCTGACCCACCGAGAATGCGTGTTATTTTATACTACCAATACAATACCCTGCAAGCATTGTCAATCTTGCCCTAATAATCTTTCATTTGAATTGTTTTAATGAATTTAGACATTGTTTGTTTCTGCTTATGGGATTGACCCTCCTACATTGTATTTATTTCTTAATTCATTGCCTCCCAGGTTAGATTTCAAGTCCTCTGCTTTGTCTTATTGACTTTATATTATAAAGGCAGTCTTCCCTAGCCTACACCATATTCATTCTGCTAAAATTGGAGGAATTGTCCTGCATTATTAATGATGTAATTTTTCTTTTCGTGCCTGAGAACACCAATTTACCATTCTGCTATCCCTATTGCTTTCACCATTTCACAGAGCTGGTACTAAATTTCCTAATGGTGGTACTCTGTGACCTGGATGCAACACTGAGTCAGGTGCTACTGTGTAACCAAGTGAATTCCTCCCTGATCTGTGGTAATGGCCTGAGAAGAGAGAAGCTACATTTTCAAGAATGTGTCCTACCAGTTTAATGCTTCAAACATTACTTTGAGGAGTACTTCCACTGCTGTTCACCTTTTTATTGTTTAATAAGATGAGTAAACTATGTATCACTTGAACTTCAAGAGGGATTCTGCCAGTTCCCTGCTACAGTTCCTGATGAAAATTGCAGAGACCTGATTGCACTATCTCTTCATTGTTTCCAGGAGTTTCCGCCATGCCTCGTAAGCAGTGGAACAGCAGCTCAAAATATGCCAGAAAGAATTTGAGTTACCAATAGCCATTTGCAGCCAGGGACCTGTATTTGTTTTCACAGCTGAGGAATACCTGCAGCCACACAGATTGGACCTGACTAGTGCATTTTAGGGCAAGGAAGCTACTCTTGGGCACTTTATTTTCTGGCTGCCTAGTGAGTAGGAGTTGCCGTTGACTGTTTCGGATTCCCTGTTCGCCATCCAAGCTTGAATAAGTTACAGTTTCCTCCACCTAAAAATGGGGAATGCCAAAGCAATTACATTTAACCTCCATCACATTCCAAACGTACAGTTAATGTAACAGAATTTCCTAAGGTTCAACCAAGGAATATTATAAAAAAAACTTTAAATCTCCCTCAGGTCACCAAAAACTTGAACAAAGAGTTAGGCTTAAGTACTGCCTTAAAGAAGAAGAGAGGTTTAAAGACTGAATTCCACACTGTAGCACACAGGTTACTGAAGGTGTAGCCACCAATCAAAATAGAGAGCTAATAGCTAGATAAAGTTAGAGGAAGACAATAACCTCTGAGGAGGTAAGAGATGGGAAGAGTGAGGCAATAGAAACGTATGGAAACAAGGATTAAAATTTTAACTTTGAGGGTGTTGCCAAAACAAGAGCCATTGTAGGCCAACAAGTACAGGGGTGATAGAGACTTAGTATCATTTAGAATATGGTCAACAGATGTTTAAATGATTCAAGTTTAAAGAGGATGTTAAGTGGAAGGTTGGCCAACAAGTTAATAGAATAGTCAAGACTAAAAATATCAAGAGCATCGATTTAAAGTTTTCAGCAACAGATGAGCTGAAGCAAGGATAGCGGCGGACGATATTACAGAGATGGGCAGTAGGTGGTCTTGGAGAGAACCTAGAGTCAAATAGGTCAACTAGGTTGAAAGTGGTCTGATTCAATATCATAAAGTGTCCAGACAGAGTGGACTGGAGACAGTGGCTAGGCAATAGAGTTTGTGATGGATCAAAAACAGTGGTTTTGGTCTACTTGATATTTATTTGGCAGTTGTAGTGCAATATTAAAGCTATACAGCATTTATTGAAGATGCCACTGGAAGGGATAGTTATTACGCTGAACCCCATCTGCCTGGATAGATAGATAGATAGATGTACAACATCCATTGATGCTGTTTGAAGACTGGGAGTTTTCCAAAGCTACTAAAAATGAAGTGTCCCATTAACTGTCCCATTTATCTCATTAGTTGTTTGCGATATCTTCCTAAGAATGATTGATTGTTTATACTGTGTTTTTGAAGTTACATAGAAGCCCTACAGTGTGGAAGCTGACAAATCGGTCCACACGGACCCTCCGAAGAGCACCTCACCCAGACCCACCCCCTACCCTATCCCTGTAACCCTACATTTCTCATGGCTAGTCCACCTAGCCTGCACATCCCTGAACACTGGGCAATTTGGCATGGCCAATACACCTGACCTGCATACCTTTGGACTGTGGCAGGAAAGCGGAGCATCCGGAGGAAACCCACATGGACATGGGGAGAAAATGCAAACTCCACACAGACAGTCACCTGAGGGTAGGATCAAATCTGGATCCCTGGTGCGTGGGGCACCAGTGCCGCCCGTTCACAGCAGTGAACTTATTCGTAAAAACAAAGTATTTTTGGATTGATCTTTAATTTTTTTTCATATCTGCAGGTGTTATCACACAACTGAACGGCTTTGTTTCTCCACCAACAAAATACCTGTGATATTTTTAATCTATTAACTAACTCCGTTAACTCAACCAATTGATTAATTTACATGCAAAGCCTGTTTAGGACATTTCTTACATTCTTCCTTATCACAATTTATTGAAACCTTTGGGATTGTTTCAAGTTCTCAATTACATCACTCATTGTCTCATCCCTAGTTAGGTATCAAAGCAAACAGGTTAACTTTGAAATTGAATAACTGTCTTATTGTCTGTCAGAAAATCAGAGCAAATAATTGTCAATGAAGCAGTAGTAAAGCATAAATACTTTTGCATCAGTTTATTAAGATTATTAATTACACACACATACATTTTGTTGATATTCTAGCCACTAATGCCAGTTTAAGTTTCGGATTGGTTATAAGGGGCTTGCCGTTCTTTGGTAATTTATTGGTTAATTTCTCAAATCTTCAGTAGGAAATGGTACGAGCAACAAGAATTTGTATTTTCATAGGCTATCCCAAGACACTCACAGGGCCATAACAGTCAGAATATGACACTGATCCACGTAAGGAGTTATTAGGTCCGATGACTGGAACTGAAAAATTATCATTATGAATCTGATCTGAGCTGTTAGAAATCATGTGTGATATTAGAAGACCATACAACCTAAGCAAGCAATATTGATGTATGTTTTGAGGCACAGCCAAACTACTTTCTTTTCCAGTCAGTACCGTTTGTAATTAATGTTATGGGCAAGAACTGCACATGAACTGGTCCACAGGAAGACCTTCACCAAGAACCTGTACGACCTACAATTGGAAGAATACCTTTCCTTGCCCATTACCTAATGAAATGATGGCATGATCCACAGATTCTGAGTATTCATTATTTTGATCACAGATGCGCCATTGTGTGTATTTTCCTGCCTTTTCTGAAGGCCAATTATAAAGTTCATGTTAAATGAAACCCATTGTGATGACCAAATTGGTTCATTTTAGATTAAATAAATGAATGAACTGAATACAGTTTTCCTGTGAGCTGCAAGTATTTCAGCTCCTTTCAAAGAAATGTAATTTGCCCCTATCATGGAACCTTTACTGAAATAACCATCTCTGACTTTTTCTTTTGCAGCCTATGTGCTTATGTTTTAGCTTTTCTGCCTGACTAGAGAGTGAGGTTTTGCAATCCTTTCACAATCCCTCACATTCTCTCTCACTATTCCAGACTGTTCTCTCTAAAGAATATGACAAAGACTGTGTATCACTGCAAACAGAAATTTGTTCCATAACAATACTATAACAACTGA